AGTTTATATTTACTAAAATAATTGCACTTCCATGTTCTGTGTGCTGGGGGAAAACAGATATAGTGAATGCAAAGTCCTGGGTATAGAAACACTTTAAAAACTGAAAAACTATCCTATTGCTAAACTGCAACCAAATTAAATGTTTTTTGTAAGTTGTTAAACATGCATTTGATCGATTTTCCAAAAATGAATTATTTTTAAAACAAGATCATGTAGACTTGAAGTGGTATGTCAGCGCAAAACAAAAAAAAAAAAAAATTTGCAGTACATCTCTACAATACATGCACATTTCCCCATGTTTTATCGCTTTAATGACCCTACAAGTACAGAAGAATGCCTGTTGATCTGCAGAAATGCAATCAGCTCCTAACTTCCTTCTGATGACTGGCACCACATGAATATGGCACGGATTAGTGTCAGCTCTACCCAGTTTACTGTTTTTAAACCACTTAATTCTTCCCACTCTTCTCATCTTCAAAACAGAGGACTAATTGCTTTATAGTTCAAGATAAAAACTGGCGGTAGTGTGGGAAAACACAGGAAGCGCATACTGGACAGCTCTGAATTTCAGACATAATGTATTTATTGCATTTACTGAACAGATATAACACAATGCTTGCAATTGTATATTTTTCATGGTCAGGTTTTACATATACTTGTAAAGTGCTCACAGCATCTGGGGATAGCAGAATTAGGCTAACAATAGCCTTATATGATATTCAGAGCCAGCTAAAATAAGTTGAAGTGGAAAATGTTTTCTCACAGCATGGGCCTCACACCACTATTCATTTTAATTCTAAAGATTGGAAAAAGTCTTCTTTCAAGATGAGTCCAAATATGACAATTTATGACTGATTGTATAGTTTCTGTGAGGAATCAAAGGAATCCGAGAACGACTGTGCAAGAAAGCAAAGTAACCTTTGTGAAAATATGTAGCTGTGATGGATGGCATCAACTAAACTTACACAAAAAAGAAAATGACTGTGTTCTGCAGAGGCAATGCTGCCCCTCCTGATCAAATATATTTGTCAGCTAACCAGCAATATTCTAAAATAGCAGATGTTCTTCTTTTTTTTTTTTTTTTTTTTTTTTTGTTCTTGGCAAGTAATTTTTTATGCATGCAACAATCCTCTGATCTTGCGTGCGCTTCTACAGAGCTCTTGACTTTTAGCTCCTTTTTGAAACTCTGACTTGGCTCCCATGATTTAACAATTTAATATGTTATCTGAGCAGTGTGTGGGATTAGTCCTGTTGTCCAGAAAGACAATGATCCTAACCATGTGCCAGGTCTATCTGAGGTCCAAGAAGGATCAAAGAGTGCTGACATGGCATTGCTTTCTTCCACAGTCAGTAGACCTCAAACTTCTTGAACATCTTTTGGGAACTTTTAAATGAGAAATTGTTAAATGTATTGTAATTTTACATAACTCTTTTTAGGTCTAACAAAAGAAACATTAAATACTGATTCTTATATCCTTAAGTGCCCCTTCACATATATGCTGATTGGATACGGTTTGAACCGCATCCAAACCGCATGACGTGAAAAAAAACTTTGCTTCCTATGGCGGCTGTTCACATATGTCTGGTGCGGATTCAGTGCAGTTTTACAATGAGTCATGTCCGATTTTCTGAGCAGTGCAGTCCAGTTCAGGTGCGGATTACAGGCTACTGACTTCTATGGCAACAGTTTCTGAACTGCATATGTGTAAAAAAGATAAGATCCTGAGCTAATCCTGTCTTGAACCTGTGAACAACTACTGTATCATTCAGCTGTGAAACCTGAGCTTCAATCCGCACCGCACATGTGTGAATCGGTTCTTAGATATAAAGACTCCTAGAGCCAGTATCAGAGTGGAAGGAAAATTAAACATCTGACAGACATTTGTTTCTCGGTAAACTTTGTAGACTTGCCAGTAAGTTATTATGTAGCCTTTTGTTAACAATGTTTCTTTAGTTTTCTAGAAAATATGAAATGAGCATGGTTCTTGGTGGAGTCTTGCATTTTTGTTTGTATGTAAGCATGGGTGAAAAAATAAATATATAATTGTATGCTAAGGTATGTTTAAAAGTAAACTGCAGGCAGCAGCATATTTCCAAAGGATAATGTAAGGTTCGGATATCTTTCTCTAACCACAAGCTCTGTGTGCAGCTACGTGCAAACAGCAGCAGCTGTTGTCAGCCTGTCATTAGTTTATATAGGCCGAGTGGCTGCTGTTTTTTGCATGCCCCTGTCATTCCCGTCACAAGAATCCACAGATTTTTGCCACTGGAATCTGGTGGCTGCGTGTAAAGGAGGCATACGTTCTAAGTAGGGATGCACCGAATTTTCGGTGGCCAAAACGCAAAAAAAAAGCACTGATACAGGTGCCGAAAAAAAACTCGCTGCCGCCACTGGCTGCTGCTGGGTAGTTCAGCCTTACCTGACAAACCATCGATCCCGGCGCTGGGCATAGAGATGAGTGAAGGAAAGATGGCTGCCACACATCTCTATTCCCTTGGAGGACAGGAATGATGGCACTTCCCGTTCTGGCCATTTCTTTTTTTTTTTTTTTTTTTTTTTTTTTTTTTTTTTTTTAAGCACTAGATCAATGCTTTTTTTGATCCAATGCTTTACATTGCAGAGGAGAGATATGGGGTCTTATTGACCCCATATCTCTCCATAAAGAGGACCTGTCACTAATTATTCCTATCACAAGGGATGCATGCATTTTATTGTGATAAGAATAAAAGTGATTCAAATTTTTTTTTGAAGGAACAGTGCAAAAAAAAAAATATTAAATAATTTTTTTTAAAAAAGTTAAAAGTCCCCCCATGCTCGCACATAGTGGTGAACGCATACGTAGGCCATGCCCACATACGTAAATGGTGTTCAAACCACACATGTAAGGTATCGCCGTGAACGTCGGTGTAAGAGCAATAATTCTCACACTAAACCTCTGTAACTCTGTACCACAGTTTCACGCCATTCCACGAGCATGCACACTTTTTTAAAGCGTGAGATGTTGGGTATCTATTTACTCGCCGTAACATCCTTTCATATTTTACAAAAAAATTGGGGTACCGTATTTTCCGGCGTATAAGACGACTTTTCAACCCCTGAAAATCTTCTGAAAAGTCGGGGGTCGTCTTATACGCCGGTGCGAGCCGGTGTCAGGGCGGCACTTTTTCGAGGGGCGGCGCGGCGCCGCCCCCCCCTCCTCCTCCAGCGGACACTAAGTACAGGGGGTGGACAGAGGGGCTGCTGTACTTTACCTGGCTCCGGTCCAGGAAGCGCGGCTGCTCCTTCTTTCAGTTCGGCCGCTCGATGGTCACGCGGCCGCTCGGCTCCGCCTCCTCACCGGTGATTGGGCGCCAGCACTGGAAAGGCACACAGGCGACCAATCACCGGCGAGAAGGCGGAGCCGAGCGGCCCCGCGAAAATCGAGCGACCGCACTGGAAGAAGGAGCAGCCGCTCCTCTCCTCCACTGACACTAACTATGGGGCACTATTCCTCCTCCACACTGACACCAACGATGAGGCACTGTTCCTCTCCCACTGACACCAACGATGAGGCACTGTTCCTCTCCCACTGACACCAACGATGAGGCACTGTTCCTCTCCCACTGACACCAACGATGAGGCACTGTTCCTCTCCCACTGACACCAACGATGAGGCACTGTTCCTCTCCCACTGACACCAACGATGAGGCACTGTTCCTCTCCCACTGACACCAACGATGAGGCACTGTTCCTCTCCCACTGACACCAACGATGAGGCACTGTTCCTCTCCCACTGACACCAACGATGAGGCACTGTTCCTCTCCCACTGACACCAACGATGAGGCACTGTTCCTCTCCCACTGACACCAACGATGAGGCACTGTTCCTCTCCCACTGACACCAACGATGAGGCACTGTTCCTCTCCCACTGACACCAACGATGAGGCACTGTTCCTCTCCCACTGACACCAACGATGAGGCACTGTTCCTCTCCCACTGACACCAACGATGAGGCACTGTTCCTCTCCCACTGACACCAACGATGAGGCACTGTTCCTCTCCCACTGACACCAACGATGAGGCACTGTTCCTCTCCCACTGACACCAACGATGAGGCACTGTTCCTCTCCCACTGACACCAACGATGAGGCACTGTTCCTCTCCCACTGACACCAACGATGAGGCACTGTTCCTCTCCCACTGACACCAACGATGAGGCACTGTTCCTCTCCCACTGACACCACGACGATGAGGCACTGTTCCTCTCCCACTGACACCAACGATGAGGCACTGTTCCTCTCCCACTGACACCAACGATGAGGCACTGTTCCTCTCCCACTGACACCAACGATGAGGCACTGTTCCTCTCCCACTGACACCAACGATGAGGCACTGTTCCTCTCCCACTGACACCAACGATGAGGCACTGTTCCTCTCCCACTGACACCAACGATGAGGCACTGTTCCTCTCTCCCACTGACACCAACGATGAGGCACTGTTCTCTCCCACTGACACCAACGATGAGGCACTGTTCCTCTCCCACTGACACCAACGATGAGGCACTGTTCCTCTCCCACTGACACCAACGATGAGGCACTGTTCCTCCTCCCCACTGACACCAACGATGAGGCACTATTCCTCCTCCCCACTGACACCAACGATGAGGCACTATTCCTCCCCCCCACTGACACCAACGATGAGGCACTATTCCTCCTCCCCCACTGACACCAACGATGAGGCACTATTCCTCCTCCCACTGACACCAACGATGGGCACTATTCCTCCTCCCACTGACACCAACGATGAGGCACTATTCCTCCTCCCCACTGACACCAACGATGGGGCACTATTCCTCCTCCCCACTGACACCAACGATGGGGCACTATTCCTCCTCCCTCACTGACACCAACGATGGGCACTTCCCCACTGACACCAACGATGGGCACTATTCCTCCTCCCCACTGACACCAACGATGAGGCACTATTCCTCCTCCCACTGACACCAACGATGATGGGCACTATTCCTCCCCCCACTGACACCAACGATGGGGCACTATTCCTCCTCCCACTGACACCAACGATGGGGCACTATTCCTCCTCCCCACTGACACCAACGATGGGGCACTATTATCCTCCCCACCACTGACACCAACGATGGGGCACTATTCCTCCTCCCCACTGACACCAACGATGGGGCACTATTCCTCCTCCCCACTGACACCAACGATGGGGCACTATTCCTCCTCCCCACTGGCCAACGATGGGGCACTATTCCTCCTCCCCCTGACGCCAACGATGGGGCACTATTCCTCCTCCCCACTGACGCCAACGATGGGGCACTATTCCTCCTCCCCACTGACACCAACGATGGGGCACTATTCCTCCTCCCCACTGACACCAACGATGGGGCACTATTCCTCCTCCCCACTGACACCAACGGTGGGGCACTATTCCTCCCTCCCCACTGACACCAACGATGGGGCACTATTCCTCCTCCCCACTGACACCAACGATGTGGGGCACTATTTCCTCCCCACTGACACCAACGATGGGGCACTATTTCTCCCACTGACACCAACGATGGGGCACGATTCCTCCCACTGACACCAACGATGGGGCACGATTCCTCCCACTGACACCAACGATGGGGCACGATTCTCTCCCACTGACACCAACGATGGGGCACGATTCCTCCCACTGACACCAACGATGGGGCACGATTCCTCCCACTGACACCAACGATGGGGCTACGATTCCTCCCACTGACACCAACGATGGGGCACGATTCCTCCCACTGACACCAACGATGGGGCACGATTTCCTCCCACTGACACCAACGATGGGGCACGATTCCTCCCACTGACACCAACGATGGGGCACGGCCGATTCCTCCCACTGACACCAACGATGGGGCACGATTCCTCCCACTGACACCAACGATGGGGCACGATTCCTCCCACTGACACCAACGATGGGGCACACTGACACAACGATGGGGCACGATTCCTCCCACTGACACCAACGATGGGGCACGATTCTCTCCCACTGACACCAACGATGGGGCACGATTTCCTCCCACTGACACCAACGATGGGGCACGATTCCTCCCACTGACACCAACGATGGGGCAGGATTCCTCCCACTGACACCAACGATGGGGCACGATTCCTCCCACTGACACCAACGATGGGGCACGATTTCCTCCCACTGACACCAACGATGGGGGGGCACGATTCCTCCCACTGACACCAACGATGGGGCACGATTCCTCCCACTGACACCAACGATGGGGCACGATTCCTCCCACTGACACCAACGATGGGGCACGATTCCTCCCACTGACACCAACGATGGGGCACGATTCCTCCCACTGACACCAACGATGGGGCACGATTCCTCCCACTGACACCAACGATGGGGCACGATTCCTCCCACTGACACCAACGATGGGGCACGATTCCTCCCACTGACACCAACGATGGGGCACGATTCCTCCCACTGACACCAACGATGGGGCACGATTCCTCCCACTGACACCAACGATGGGGGCACGATTCCTCCCACTGACACCAACGATGGGGCACGATTCCTCCCACTGACACCAACGATGGGGCACGATTCCTCCCACTGACACCAACGATGGGGCACGATTCCTCCCCACTGACACCAACGATGGGGCACGATTCCTCCCACTGACACCACCAACGATGGGGCACGATCCTCCCACTGACACCAACGATGGGGCACGATTCCTCCCAACTGACACCAACGATGGGGCACGATTCCTCCCACTGACACCAACGATGGGGCACGATTCCTCCCACTGACACCAACGATGGGCACGATTCCTCCCACTGACACCAACGATGGGGCACGATTCCTCCCCTGACACACTCCACTGACACCAACGATGGCACGATTCCTCCCACTGACACTGACACCAACGATGGGGCACACGATTCCTCCTCCCACTGACACCAACACCCAACGGCACGATTCCATCCTCCCACTGACACCAACGATGGGGCACGATTCCTCCCACTGACACCAACGATGGGGCACGATTCCTCCCACTGACACCAACGATGGGGCACGATTCCTCCCACTGACACCAACGATGGGCACGATTCCTCCCACTGACACCAACGATGGGGCACGATTCCTCCCACTGACACCAACGATGGGGCACGATTCCTCCCACTGACACCAACGATGGGGCACGATTCCTCCCACTGACACCAACGATGGGGCACGATTCCTCCCTCCCACTGACACCAACGATGGGGGCACGATTCCTCCCACTGACACCAACGATGGGGGCACGATTCCTCCCACTGACACCAACGATGGGGGCACGATTCCTCCCACTGACACCAACGATGGGGCACGATTCCTCCCACTGACACCAACGATGGGGCACGATTCCTCCCACTGACACCAACGATGGGGCACGATTCCTCCCACTGACACCAACGATGGGGCACGATTCCTCCCACTGACACCAACGATGGGGCACGATTCCTCCCACTGACACCAACGATGGGGCACGATTCCTCCCACTGACACCAACGATGGGGCACGATTCCTCCCACTGACACCAACGATGGGGCACGATTCCTCCCACTGACACCAACGATGGGGCACGATTCCTCCCACTGACACCAACGATGGGGCACGATTCCTCCCACTGACACCAACGATGGGGCACGATTCCTCCCACTGACACCAACGATGGGGCACGATTCCTCCCACTGACACCAACGATGGGGCACGATTCCTCCCACTGACACCAACGATGGGGCACGATTCCTCCCACTGACACCAACGATGGGGCACGATTCCTCCCACTGACACCAACGATGGGGCACGTTCTTCCCCCCCCCCCCCCCCATCCTCCTCCCACTGACACCAACGATGGGGCACGATTCCTCCCACTGACACCAACGATGGGGCACGATTCCTCCCACTGACACCAACGATGGGGCACGAATTCCTCCCACTGACACCAACGATGGGGCACGATTCCTCCCACTGACACCAACGATGGGGCACGATTCCTCCCACTGACACCAACGATGGGGCACGATTCCTCCCACTGACACCAACGATGATGGGGCACGATTCCTCCCACTGACACCAACGATGGGGCACGATTCCTCCCACTGACACCAACGATGGGGCACGATTTCCTCCCACTGACACCAACCAACGATGGGGCACGATTCCTCCCACTGACACCAACGATGGGGCACGATTTCCTCACACACTGACTAACGATGGGGCACGATTCCTCACACACTGACTAATGATGGGGCACCATCATTGGTGTCAGTGGGAGGAATAGTGTCCCATCATTGGTGTCAGTGGGAGGAATAGCACCCCCATCATTGGAATACCATATTGGTGTCCAGTGTGGAGGATAGCACCCCATGAAATACCATACCATATTGAAATCAAATCTGATGTTTTTTCATTTTTATTTGGTGTGCGTTGGAAGAGGGGTAGTCTTATACGGCGAGTATAGCCCAAACCCTATATTTTAACAGGAAAAGTAGGGGGTCTTATTGTCTTATACGCCGGAAAATACGGTATATATTGTTTTGTTTTTTTATCAGTATTTTTTTCAAAAAAAATATATATTCATTTTTAAAAACTGCATTTCGGTTTTCAGCCAAGTGCATTTTGAATTTTCGGTTTTGGCACCAGAATTTTCATTTCGGTGCACCACTAATTCTAAGATAAGATATGACCTGTCTTTAATGCACTGTATGTTATGGAAGTTCTGGTTGCTGTAGGTTTGATTCTGTTGAGGGCCGTAGCTCTCTACTATTTTCGCATATTGTTTTTTTAACTGTTATTCCTACAGTAGGTATTTACTATGTTTGCTTTACTAAAGCAACCAAATATGCAATTTGGTTAGGGATGTCCAAACTTTAGCATAAAACTATAGCTACAAGCACATCATTGTTAATCATTTTGTACACTAACCTTTTTTTCCACAGTAATTGAAAAACCTGTTCTTTATTGAAAAATGCAGCACATTTAGAATCCTGTATATAAAGTGTTTGAGACTTTGTAATTTTTTTTTATATGCTTTGTCCTACTCTGTTGCAGTGTTGTATAACAACAGTATTAAATGGGAATCGGTCATGAAAAACTGAACATTTTAAGTTCTATGATCTAGCCCTGGAGACATGCTGTCCTCTATTGTTAGTTTCCCCTCCTTTCCTCTGTCAGGTGTAGCTTGGTCCTCTGCCCCTTGGCTGACGTTTTTACAACCCCTGGCAAAAAGTATGGAATCACCACTCTTGGAAAATGTTCATTCAGTTGTTTAAATGCTTAGAAAAAAAACTAATCACAGACATGCCTCAAAACTATTTTCATTTAGCATTCCAAATTGGCTTTAAGAAGCACTTAAAAAAAGAAAATTGTAGTCAGTTGCAACTGTTTTTTTCTGAAAAAAAAATATGGAATCATTCAATTCTGAGTAACATACTATGGAATAATGAAAAAAACACTACAGTACACCACTAGTACTTTGTTGCACCACCTTTGGCTTTTATACCTGCTTGAATTCTCTGAGGCATGGATTTAACTATTGACAAACCATATTCTTCGTAATTCCGGCTCCAACTGTCTCTTATTGCAGTTGCCAGATCAATTTTGTAGGTTAGAGCCTTGTCATGTTCTTTCATTTCCTCCATAGATTTTCAATTGGATTGAAGTCCGGACTATTTGTAAGCCATGCCATTGACATTATGGCTTTCATGAAGGAAAGTTTTCACTGCTTTTGCCCTATGGCAAGATGTGTTATCCTGAAAAATGTCATCATCACCAAACATCCTTTCATTTGATGGAATAAGAAAAGTGTCCAAAATCTCAATATAAACTTGTGCATTTATTGAGGATTTAATGACTGTAATCTCCCCCGTTCCTTTTACCTGACATGCAAACCCATATCATCAATGATTGTGGAAATTTGCATGTTTTCATTAGGCAGTCGTCTCTATACATTTCATTGGAACGGATCCAAACAAACATTCCAGCATCATCACCCTGCCCAATGCAGATTCGTAATCATCACTGAATATCCCAGTCATCCACAGTCCATGATTGCTTTTCTTTAGCCCACTATAACCTTGATTTTCTTCTGTCTAGGTGTTAATAATGGTTTTCATTTGGCTTTTCTGTATGTAAATCCCATTTCCTTTAGGCAGTGTCTTCCAGTTCGGTCACAGACATTGACTCCACTTTCTGCCCATTTATTCCTCATTTGTTTTGTTGTGCATTTTCTGTTTTCAAGGCATATTGCTTTAAGTTTTCTATATTGACGCTTTGTCTTCCTTGGACTACCAGTACGCTTTCCTTTTACAACCTTCCAATTTGATTTGATCTTGGTCCAGATTCTAGACTCAGCTGACTGGGAACGACCAACATCTTTTGCAACATTCTGTGATGATTTACCTTCTTGAAGAAGTTTTATAATCCTCTCCTTTGTTTCACCTGACATCTCTCATGTTGGAGCCATGATTCATGTCAATCAGCTTGGTGCAACAGCTCATCGCAAGTACTTTTTTTTTTTTTTTTTTTTTAAACTGCAGACTAATTAGCAGATGTCTGTTTTAGAACTACAAAGTACATGGTGATTCCATAATATTTTCCTCAGAATTGAGTGATTTTAAATATTTTTTTCCTCTGCTTGATCTGCAAAAACTTCAATTGACTACAGTTTTTTTTTTTTTTTTTTTTTTTTTTTTTTTTTTTTTTACACAAGTAAACAATTGCTTTGAACATTTTCCAAGAGGGATCATTCCATACTTTTTGCCAGGGGTTGTATTATGGCCATGCGGTCCCTGAGGATTAGCTGGCTTTGTATGCATTTTTGCAGATTTTGTTCATTAGTAGTTTCTCTATGGATCTGGCCATGTCCCACCCTCAACAAGGTGATCATTATTCCATTGGATGCATTTACTTTTAAAGACCCTATTAATAAGTGGTTGGAAGACCTTTCCAGAATTCTGTTCTGTTTCGCCAGTCCTATTCTTATCATGTGTAATTAGTCAGAATCACTTAAAGGAGATCTAACCACTGCTGCTTTTTACCTCCTTTTCATTGAACATTTGGAGCAGATGGCTGTGGTATTAAATTTTAGCTGTG